TCAGTCGTTTCAATCCTTATTGACTATCGAACATTGGGCATGGCGAATACTTAGCAATGATTATCAAGAGTGGACTAATGATGCAAACTATGCCGATTTTTTTCATGCTCTCGCATCGTTTAATACAAAAATGATTATTAATGATGATAATATCAAAGCCGAAACTAAAGCAACACTTCTTATTCCTCATTCTACCGATTGGATCGATGGTGTTCTTAGTCAAATAGACAGAAGTGATGATACATTCCTGACAGTAACTAGTCTTTGGTTCGATATTCTCTCACATTTCTTACACGATTACTCTCAGTTCGTCTGCTCATCTCTGGTTGCTCATATTAATCAGCGAATAGCTCATGACATACTTATGTCTGATCAGTATAAATTCTATTTGCAACAACTCCGAGAAGCACATCCTTTACAATCCATATTTACTATCAAACAGCTTTTCTATATCAAAACATGTTCATTCTCGTTAGCAGCTTATTTTTCTCTTACACCACAAGACTTTCTCTATACAGCTGAACAAATTATTGAACATATTGCTGATGACTATGCACAAATCATTCTTGTACATAGCTATACAGTAAAATCATGGAGTCGAGAATTACTCGGCTGTATTTCTTCGCTGATCGGTCTCATTTGTGCATGCTGTTGGTGGGGTCGTGAGGAGGCACATCATATCAAAAAGATTGTATCTACCGATTTGACATTGTATGATCATGTTTCAGCATTGATTCGTATTATCAGTTATAAACCATTTCATAAATGTATTGATGGTCAATGGCCTAATGTGGAAACAATTCTTATCGATTCTATCATAACATTCTTAAGAGGTGCAATAGATGCAGAAAAATTAAGTTGTTTTATTCGTTTGACAACATCTTTACCTGATACACTTACATCATTAGTTCAAACAGCACCATATGATCGAATAGTTCTATGTGCACATGGTTTACTTGCTGAAATTCTAACGGATGAACAACTGAAAGAATTAAAAATTGTCAGAAATATAAGACGTTCGTGCTTTGATATTATTGAACAAGCTTGGAAGGATCCATCGCAGAAATATCAACATATACCACTAGTACATATACTTCGAGGTTAGTTTATCTTTCAATTACGAGTATCTTTATTATATATTCGTCTGAAATTGAATAAAAAACTAGAAAAAGATGAAAAAACGTACAGGTTTTGTTAGCATTTGTTCACTAAAAATACCATTCGATTTCTTTTATGAAACTATAGGAATCTCTTGAATATGTTTGGTAGAATTTTTATATATTTGTATTATCTAGGCTTTGCTAATCTATCAAAAAATGATACTGTTCAAGCAAACACAGCAGCATTAAATAAAATGCCACTGCTAATCGAAATATTGGACAAATATCCGATCGTATACGATATTCTCTGGGGTCTTTCCTTTAATTCATCTATTCAAGAACAACTTCGATTGAATCATTCATTCATGACCAAATTGACTGAAATCAAAAAGAACTGTTCAAATGAAACTATACGTAAAGCTGCACGTGGAATTCTTTGGAATTTGAATTCAGATCGAGATAAACAGATATTTACAGAAAAATGTGATAGTACAACATTTGATATAATGATTAGTTATTCACATAAAGACAAACAAATATGTAAACATTTGTATGAACAACTTATTCGAACTGGTTATCGAGTATGGATTGATTTCGATCAGATACATGGCAACGTCATGGATGCCATGGTACAGGCAATCGAACAATCTCGAACGATTATTATTTGTATGAGTGAACAATATCGACGAAGCAATTATTGTCGAGCCGAAGCTGAATATGCATTTCAACGTCGACTCAAAATAGTACCAGTGCTTCTACAAGAACATTACAAACCCGATGGTTGGCTTTTGTTTTTAATTGGTCAATCACTCTATGTTGATTTCACAAAACATGAATTTCCAATAGCAATAGAAATGTTGATCAAGGAAATCAAAGCCTTACATATGCAGAACTTTCATAACATAGAAGTTCAATCAAATCAAAGTGCTTTATTGGTACTTCCTCCTTCTGTACCATGCCTACAACCATTATCGGGAACGGAACTATGTCCAGAAAATGTTCAAAACTGGACAACGGCACAAGTTAGCGATTGGTTAAAGGATAATAATCTGTTAGAACTGGCTCAGCTTTTATCGGACGTTGATGGACAGACGTTGATCTATATCAGTGAATATATAACAAGAGGAGATACACAGCATATATTGGCATCGCTACAACAAGATTCATTACGACTAATCAATCGTAATGTATCAGTAATCGAATTAGCTCGTTTTCGCAATCTCATCAAACAACATGGCCTTGCATCGTCAACAAGCGTCAAATCGATGAACAAGATCAACGTTCAGTACAGAAAATGGTGGAAATCGCTAAATCAATGTCACATGATGTAAAAGTAAACACTCTTAGACAGTTGAACATGATCAGTGTGGTTTTAAGTAATTTTTTGTATATTTCTGTTTATGTTTGTTTTCATGATATATACTAAAATTTGTCTGACTGAATTATACAATACAGAGTTTGAACCGTTTGTTATAGATTTATGTTGAAAATGTTACGACTTGGTTTTAATGTGTGATAGTTATTATTTGATATCTCTTATCTTAGATAACATGAAGAATCAACTGACAAATACAAGGATGTGTGGGCGTGATTATAGCACACACACACATTCGTATATAGATTTCTCTTTTTTTATGATATTCAAAATGTGATTTCGTCTTTATCGTTGAAGATCAATACTGAATACTCGAGATCATTTTTGATTTGTAATACTAAATATTTCACTACAAATGTCGTGTTTTGTTCGATGCAGTGCACGATTTTTTAAGGATAAATATGTCAACTAGAAAATGATTCATAGAAGAGATATTTTCAAAGAATTACCAAATACTTTTGAAGACAATTTTTTTTCAAATTGGAGTTTAAACATCCGACTGGGCTCATTACTTCTATCATACCTTTACTGCAAGAGTCACTAGATATACAGTGTTTTTTATGTCGATTTTGTTCGTTGTTCGTTGCAACATCTCGAAGACTAGGCGACATACGTCCAAAAAACCATCGACTGTGATAGGTACTTTCACAGTCAACATTCTACAGAAGACCCAGACAAACCGATGAAGAGATGAGAAACAATTTTCGGTCTATTGAATAGCATACGTGCATGGTGACCGGATAATTAGTTACAGAACAATTCGTCGCATAAATCATAATGAAAAAGAAAAATTTAGCTGCATATATAATTTGTTCTTTTCATTACTTGACGAACTGTCCACGACGAATTATCCTGCCACAAATTGTCCTAGTACCTGATGCTTCGTTTATAATGATATGATTGTGGATTAGTTTTTATTAGTTGCATTTTGAAGAAAGTGATAGTTATTGATGCAATATGCTTATATTTGTTTCAAATCCTACCATCGTACTGAAGATGACTGAATTTTTTACTAGCGTCAACAACTGAAAATGGTCGAAAATTCTACAAATATAAAATTGTGTAAAATATTTTTTCGATTTGAAATAAAATTATTGTTTATTGTTATACGGCATTTATGTCTTTCTTTCATAGAAATGATTGCTCGTTTAATAGCGTAACGCCATTCTTATCTTTCCATTCTTCATTTGCATATTTTACTACATACGAGATTGATTGAATATGAAAAGAAGTGATAAGGTTAGATGTATGTTTTACGACTATGAAAGGATAATACAATTACGTCTCACTCCATCGATATTTGAAAGAAAAGAAGAAATAAAAACAACTGAGTTGGAAATATTGATTCCATAAGAGATCATTTGTCCTATCGATTCGATGTAGTATACGACGTTTGGAGAAAGATTAACAAAAGACTGAAACCAAGCTGTTCGATATTTTGCTATCAAAACAGGTAACATAACTCCAGCAGTGAAATAGATTACGTAAGTTCTCTCGTTCTGAAACGGCTTAGAAAACAAGAGAAAATAAAAGGAATACTGAAATCAAGACATAAAATAAAACTTTTGTTTGCTATCATTGACAGATCATATTGTCATTCGCTTTGTCGAAGAAAATCAATCCAAATAGTCGATTGCACTGAAAAACATCAAATACGAGAAAACAAAAAGAGAATGCTTTATGTTGTCCGTCCTCGCACGCGTCCCTTTGTTAAATCTAGGATAGAATCAGTTGAAATTCAACTGCTCTTTCAGTACAAAATTTATTTTGATTCATCTATACAAAACATACAGCTTTATTTTGAATAGGATGCTATGATCGATGTTATTCAGTAACGTAACCACGTTGATTTCAAACGAGTTCTTTTATTTTCAGTGTCGTAGTCAGAGATAGAAGTATTAAGTAACTGCTCACGACCTCAAAAGTTATTGCCCACAGATTTTTTGAGATCATGACAATTGTCCATAGTTGCTCGACTCTCAAAATAGTTTTTCTGGAAAGTTGACTACTACTGAAAAATTTCTGGCTACACCACTGGTTATTTTTGTACTATTTTCCCCACCAATACAATCTAGAGCCCTTTTCGAAGATACATTGCAAATACTGGCACGGCTTGGTGAAGATGTACAGAGGATAATTTTGCTTCTGAACATTTCGATGAAGTCACTTTTTCTTCTAGTATAAGAAAATGACAGAGAAAGACGATGAGACTATGTTTTCAGGTTCATTCGTGATGAATAAATGTAGATTATCATGTATATCGGCTTATTCAAACTGAATTTGTTATTTCTGTAAATCATATGAAGTAAAATTTTTACTCGAAATCCTGCATCATTCAACTATGACACAACCTCTTCGTCACATGGGTTATCACCTATGGGGATTCAAATGTCTTGTTCTAGACTTTGATACTCCTCTTTAGAGAAGTAGACTAACGTTTCTTCACGATAAATTATTATTATTATTACCATTACACAATTCCAATAAAGTGTTCATTTTCTCTTTATAGAGATACTCCAATTGTATCAGAGATTAAATAATTAAAAGTATTAGTCCTTAAAAACAAAACCACTTAGCACTTGTACTTTATACTAAAGTATCTGTACTTTTTATTAAAGCTCTGTACTAAGTACTCAGTCTCGTGCACTGATTGACCTCCTTTTTTTTCTCATATTTTATTGAAATCTAAATTACTTTACTTATATGTCATTCTTCTACTAGAATGAAAACAATTACCATTCTATGCATTATTTTTCTTGATCTCTTCAATCAAAGGAACACTATTGTTGCATCAGAGAAATCAGCAGAAGGCACACCTAACGAACAATTAGAAAGCTATGATATTAAGAAGAAGGTTATAGTGATACCAGTAAGTAAAAATTTCAATCTATTGTCACATTGGTGCATAATTTTTCAACCATGTCTAGGGCATTTCAAACTCTATTGCATCATATAATGCAGCCATCCAAATCAACCACATTCTCTATTTGAGTGGTCAAACTGGAATTGATCCTGCAACACGCCAACTAGTATCGGATGATGTTCAAAGTCAAACTAGACAAGCATTCCACAATATACAAGCCATATTAGATGCAGCTGGATCAGATATGACTCAAATCGTGCGATGTCTTGTTCTGTTAACTAATATAAATGACTATCAATTAATGAATCAGATTTATACATCATTCTTCCCTTCAAACAAAGACTATCCAGCTCGGACAACTTTCGCTGTTCAATCGTTACCAGAAAATGCCAAAGTTGAAATCGAATGTACTGCATATGCAGGCCGGAAACTCGCGAATTGCTATGAACGCTTGATTATTCCATCTAATTTCATTTTGTTTAGTTTAGCTTTTCATTTAATAGTATTCATGTTTACTTTTTAGAAAGCACTTTATTTTATTGTATGCACGTTCATGGCTAAATGTATTATGCACGAAGGATGCCCTTCAGAACTTTTGACTCGATTTGAATAATAAATTTTTAGATAGTAGAATAAGTAGTGGTGAATTTGGCTCTATGAGTAAAAGATGCAACAAAATACGCTCTATAAAATTACTCTGAATTGAGCGCCGCTGACTCTCATAGTAGGAAAGTTATAAGCTTAGAAATATCCATCAAAAAATAAAAATGAAAATTAACAGCGAATCATTTAGAATGAAAAAAACATGAGCAAATGTTGAAATCAGCTTTTTTTTCCAGAGTCAGAGTGTGAGGGTTAGGACGAAAAGGGATTTTCATTTATCCTTATTCTCATCCTCAATTATTTCAAAACTTGTTTAAATATAATCTTATTGTGGATCAGGTATATCAACAATCTAACTAAATAAACATCTACTTATTTATTTGTGTTCTGTCTGCTTTTTCTTTGCAGAAAACAAATACTTGATCAACTCATCACTCTATGATAAATTGTCCTGAGGGTGAGTGTGTAGGCGTCGTCTCTTTACCCGCACCTACTCACCCAGATAGCCACTTCTCGTCAACATTCGATCAAGTTCTATTGACCTGAGGATGAAAAACAGCCATATTGAATTGGTCGAATCCAATTTCCATCGGTCGTGTGTACGGATTTTGCAGACATAGTAAATTTCTAGCGAGGGAATAGGCATGAATACTCGATATAAGAAGCGGTAGCTAAACACTACCAATATTGATCGTCATCAAATGAGACAGATCCATTCTTTAGTAGACACTACTTTTATTATATGAAACCGTTTTTATTAATTCATCACTTTCAAGTGACCTTAACAAAAGTAAAAACAAAAAAAAGAGCTTCGATTGCCATGTGTGTCCAATATTGTCGTGATCGATGAGTTTTTTAACATTTTTTAGCGTTTTCTAAATGGTTTTTCAAATTTTTCATCTTACAAAAACTGACTTAAAAATTTTTTAATATATACAATTTTGTAGAGCTCGACGAGCTCTATCGAACCATGTAAACATATCAAAAGAAAATACTAAATTCATTTTTGAATCACTGATGCCTTAGTTTTTTATCCTAAAAAAGTATAAAATTTCTTAAGTTCGACATCAAAAAGTTTTGATAACTCTTACAATTTAGTATCAAAAAATTCTATTTTCAACGCGCTTTAATTTAGTATAAAATTAGTTATGTATGCTATTTGAAATTATAGTGTTACCCCCTAGAAAAAACATTTTTACGTACCCTGTAGACAAATGAATGCAAATAATGTCGCTCGAATATGCTTGTTATTGTGAAATAGGATACTAAATTAATTAAATTCTCTACAGATCATTAATTTCTAAATCATATCTGGATCAATAAACAACAGTAATACAAGTATTTCATGAATCGAAAAAATATTTTATTCGTAAATTTTCACTACAGTAGAAAGGCTATACTCAGTTCTGATTAGTGAAGTAATTGTTATAGTGAGGATGGGTATGGATTTAAAATAGAAATAACACTGTTTTATTTCTCTAGTGTGTTTAAGGCCTTTTACTATCCTGTATCTACTTCATAGGTTATTCTGTCCTTGTCAAAATGTGAAACGTTCAGTTCTTTCTCACAATCAATTTATATAAAAATTTAATTATAGTCTTTCAACATCCAAATACAAGTAGGAAAAAGTCAAAACGACGAAACTCTTCGCTTTTATACAGAAATTAAAGTTATTACACACAAATCTATGTTTTTTTTTTCTTTCTGTTCTCGTTTTCTTACACGTGTGCATTTTAAAGTAGAGTGCATCAAAGTGATATTTATAGTTCGACTTACATTCTTCGTTATTTGTTGTAAACAGAGAAAAATCACATTCGTTTATTTTCTAGTCTTTTATTCTCCTTAATGCTATATTAACCTGTTGGAGATACACATCTTTGGTCTCCATTTAGTCATGTCAAAGTCAAATATAATTTCGTCTGAATGCAAAATTTGTGGAGTTCCTGTCATTTTTTTGCATTATGGTGTTACAGCATGTGAATCATGTAAAATGTTTTTCAAACGGAATGCTGAAAACCAAAAGGTCAGTTAAAATGAAAATGATTTTTTTTTTTGTTCTTTAAATTAACTTGTTCAGGAAACACTGAAATGTCTCTTTGATGGTCAATGTGAAGTGAATATTAATATTTGTCATGTATGTTCTGCATGCCGATTAGAAAAATGTTTTCAAGTTGGAACGCGTGTTGAAATGATTCAATGTTTTCGACCATCGTTGAAGAAAAAAAAACCAGCATCATCAAAATTAGTTCCAGTGATAAGTGAAAAAAATGAACAGTCACTAAAGGTTACGAGTTTATATTATTCTTTTTCTTTTTTTGTTCTAATTCGGTGAAAAACTATTAAGAGAAAATTTTCTTTTACAATTTGGAAAAACAAAATGCTTTATTTTTGTTGCTATATAATTCAAAGTTATTCTATGATGTTCGAAAGCACGAAAATAATTTTGATAAATATGTTATTAAAATATGAACGTCCCCGAAGAGTCAAACTGCTAATTTATTCAAGCGAAAAATATTTGAAAAACTTTTTTTTTTCTCTTTATTAAATTGCATAACTAATATTTCGATCCTATAGGAGGATGTCATGAGCAATGATCTACTTAAAACCGAGAGTATGTGATTACTTAACATACGAACAAAGAAAGATCCTCAACTGATATCTGAATGAGACTAGTTTATTGTGGAAATTTCAAATCTTCTGATTGCTCCTACTCTAAGATACAGTTTATAAGGATGTTCAAAACTCAGTTCTCCTAAGGGAAATCTCGACATTGTACCAAATCATAACGTAAAAATACAGTATCTCGGCAACAATAAGCTACTAGCTCGAATTCTTTTCAGGGTATTCGTAGTTCATTACAAGCTACATGATGCACATTGTATGAATTTAATTGTAAACCTTTTCTCATAAGATCGAATAGTTTCACAGACGAATGTGGCGAGGTACTACTACTAAATTTTCTTCGATGTTGATGATGTTATAATCATTGGATTCATTGTTGTTTCTATCAATAAGATTCCCATTGGATTTCTAATAACTATTCAATCCTATAGAGTATGATCGAATGACTTTCAGATCTATTGAACTACGTTCTTTCTCATCATAAGTCTTTGCGCAACTCAAAAATTCTAAGTTTTAGTCATAAAAAAAATAGCAAAAATTTTTGTCAACATAATGTGTGAAATGTTCTTTGCCGCTATCTAACAGTTTGAAACAACTTGCTTCTATATTGGAATACATTTAGTCGTTAGAATGCTCCTTCTTCGATGTTCAATTAGATATAAATAAGATTAAAGTGTCTTAGTTTCGATCCTGATTCTGTTGAAAGTGAGATAAAGATTAGTTTGCTCATGTCTAGTTTAAGATAATGTAACATCTATCTTCGTATTATCATATTAAGAAAAATTTTCAAAGTTGAAAAGTTTTAAGAAAAAGAAGAACTATTATTGAATAATTTGGATCAACACGTACAAATCAAATTGATTGGTATTTTTTAATGATTGTTCTTTTTTTTACTTTTATGACTATTAGAATGTTCTTATAAATGAAAAAATTTGATCCGTTTTTATTGTTGTTAGTCAAAGAAAACAATATCAATGATGATATATCGTTTCATTATTAATAAATTTTTTATTTTTTTTTTAATTTATTACAAAAAAAAAAGAAATTGTCATTTTTTTTGTAGCTACCAACATTAAACTTATTTGATCAAGATCGATCATTATTAACTACTGATCAATGGGCTCTTCTATCCAATTTAATTCATTCATATGATAAACATAATGCTCTGGTAGTTGCAAAAGATTTTGCACAAAGTATTAATAATTTACATCCGAGACAACGTTTCAAAGTTAATGCAATAAAAGTAGTTGAAATTGTTATAATTCTTTGTCAAACAACAGAACCATTTATTCGATCAAATCATGATTTTGCTTCATTATTTCATCATGATTATTCGGTTGTCTTACGTGGTGCTATCGAGAATGTTAGTTGTCTTGGTGTAGCTTTGATATTCCGTCAATCTGGACTTACAGAAGATTCAGCTTTTCGTAATGGTATGGAGATCACTTATGACCCTATTCCATATAATCTAACTTTAAATATGGTTTCAGCATTGAATCAAGATTTTAATCTCGTTAAATTATCATTATCAATATTTGCTTTTTGTACAAGTAACTGTACTTTATATAATGAAAATACTTCACACATGTATTTGACAGATATTCAATCATTCTTAAATATAGAAAATAGGTATGCTGAAATTGTATGGAAATATTTACTTTATAAATATTTGTTTGAAAAAGCTGTTGTACGTTTTAGTTGTCTTGTGAATAGTATTGTTAATGCAATTACCGTTAGAAATCATACTGATGTTATGAGAGACTCGTTCAAAAGATTGAAGAAAAACTAAACATTCATGATAACTAAATGTTTGTTTGTTTTTTGTTTATTTAAGATTTTTTTTTTTCATAATGTAAATAAATAAAAAGAAAATGTAATGAGTAAGAAGAAATTCATCTTGTCGATACATTTATATTTTATCCAAAGTAAATAATTAAACAAGTGTCTATAGAATATGAAAGGCATATTATCATCATAATACATAGAATTCTATATTTTTTTTTTTGTATAAAATAAAATGTTCTTCTTAACCTGAATATATAAATATGATAAACATTCGATATTTATATAATCTATTTATTTAAAATTAATTAAAAAAACAAAATAAGAATGATATCGAAATTCAATTATCATTATCATCAATGTAGATCTAATCTTAGTTTTGAATATAATAGCTGTTTGATAGACTATAGGAACAGGGAAAACTGCTATAATATAATATTGATTGAAAGAATCGCTATTGTTTAAATAACTTGAAAATAACAAAGAAATAGAGATCGGTATTGTTATTCTTTCAATAGTCACATATTTTCAAATGATTTTTTTTTCAGGCATAAAGATATGTAAACATAACTTGATTTACATAGAATGCATGAAAATAAATGAAAGTAAATCGCATGTGAATAAAAATACGTCCGCCTGAAAAAAAAGTAGCGTCACTCGTTATTTTTAATATATCATCACTATAAATTAATATTTTGAGAAAAGAGTAATTATATATTCGGATAGTCAGTAGAATTCTCTACAACTCTATATATGCACACTTTGAATTACACTTGTTCACTAAAAATAAATTCAAGCACAGTAAAGGCACGTTCATCATCTGATTTCTTGGAAATGTATTTTTTAACCCATTCTTCATTCATATTTTCAAGTTTATTTTGAATAGAGAAACAAGCATGGGCGGCGCAAGGTCAGTTTTGTAGGGGTAGCAATAAACTGTTAAAGGAGCTCTACTTTTTTTCCCTTGTTTAATTCGAGGCAAAAAATTGCTTTCATGAGAACTGAACTTCTCGAATGTACTGTATGCAAAACTCGAGTATTAATTTCTCTAGTAGTACATTAAACCCGCTTTAATTGGTATATGCATTTTTTATCGAGTACATTTACTTCGTCAATTTTAGTGTTCAATCACTATTGAATGTTCACAAATATTTATTAGTAATAGGAAAAAATACATTCTTATCCAAGAATGATATAGAATTGTTGTGTTCATTTTCAAAAAAATGTTTTTCTTTTATCTTTTTTCGATAGAAAAGCAGTTCCAATAGCATCAATATCAATTTCATAATCTCGTTCAAACGGATGTCCCATAATAAATGGCCGATTTTTGTATTTCAGATTCTAATCTTTAAAAATTTTTATTAAAAAACCGAGTATACTACAAGATGCAGTGTGAAGAGCTCTACAATTCACAAAGCAAGACCGATTTTGGTTGTTTAATTTTGATTTTGAAAAAGACAAAATTCTATACGACCACTTTTCGAAGGTGTCAAAAAACCATTTCTTCGTTCTTATTTCATCTGTGTATTTCTTAATATGTTTTCTTTAGAAAAGTATAATACACCAGAACATGCAGCGTAAAAAGATCAACAATCCGCAAAGTAAAGGGTTGTGTAATTTTTGTTTAAAAAAAAGCAAAATTCCGTGAGCATAATTTCCATTGTACCTAAAAGATCATTTTTCTATTCCAATGAACAAATCATTTTTTTCTTATTTCATCGTTTTATCGCCTAATTAGTTTTATCGTATATACCTCAAGATGTAGCGTAAAAAGTTCTACAGTGTACAAAGTAAAGCTTTTTTAATTGTATACTTTTTGTTTTGAAAAGAACCAAGATTCTGTGAGACCGTTCTATGCAGCGTCGAAAATTGATTGGGCAGAATTCCATTTATTTTCAAAAAATATCAAGTATATAATTAAAATAAGCTTTCCTTTGTAGCTGCAGAGATCTTTACGCTGCACCTAGTGCTATTTTCTATGCTTTTTTAAAATGTATTTAAAGATTAAAATATGAAATAGAAAAATTAGCCATCTATTATGGGACACTCGATATATATTGCGGGAAACAGATACATCAGGATAGCAATAAACAATTCTTGAGACTAAAATTCAATCTTCATGTATAAAATACAGAATTACATCGAATATATGTATGCTGAATAAAAAAGTTTTACTCTAGAATATACAGGAAGCGTGAAAAATTAGAGGAAGCAATAAGTTCTTATTGATTCCAATAATTTATTTTAGGGGTTGCAATTGCTAACTATTGCATTGCTGGCGCGCCGCCTATGGAAACAAGTTATTACAAAACTAAGTATGTATTTTGAAAGTGCGTGAAATTCTCTATTACTCTGTACTTTTGTCAGTTGTGACTTGGAATTATTTGATAACAAATACTTCGAGTATTGTTGATGTATCCTCATTGTGACACTCTCACTTTCCATTACTATTCATGAACTCATATAGCGTCAGATTGATTGATCTATGATCAACTTCTTTGCACAAAGATGTAGCCAAAATTTCTAATAATACCTAACCTAGGAACGTGATGCGTACGTGCATTAACAATATTCGAAGTATTTGTTATCAAATAATTCCAAATCACGACTGACAAAAATACAGAGTGGTAGAGAATTTCACGCACTTTCAAAATACATATTTACTTTTGTAATAACTTATTTCTCTATTCAAAATAAACTTGAAAATATGAATGAAGAATGGGTTAAAAAATACATTTCCAAGAAATCTGATGATGAACATGCCTTTACTATGCTTGAATTTATTTTTAGCGAACAAGTACAATTCAAAGTGTACATATATAGAGTTGTAGAAAATTCTACTGGTTATCCGAATATATAATTACTCTTTTCTCAAAATATTAATTTATAGTGATGATATATTAAAAATAACGCGTGACACTATTTTTTTTCCAAGAGGATATATGATACAGTGTTGAAGTCGTATTAGCGATACTGATTTTTTCTCTTTAGTCTTAAATGTTCAAAAATAAAAAATTCTTTGAAGTTTATTCAATGATAAGAAAAAGAGAAAGAGATAAAATAATATAATTAAATTTAACGAAAATCAATTCGATCACAAGAGACATCCATCGAATCATGAATCATTGAATTCGCTTTGACTCATTCAGTTCTAACATGTGTATCTTAGATCTATCAGAAGAACAGAAGCAAAAAAAAATACGAAGAAAAATAACTTTTTTTCATTTCTGCGGAGAATCAGATCATCAGAGTGTTTTTTCTCGACGCATGCACACACATGTTAGTCTTATTGTTAGACAAACGCGTTTGCTCTGGATTGAAATAAAACTAGCTGATAATGAACCCAATGATCCTTGTTATACCAAAAAAAAAATATTTCGGTTTTTTTTTCCTACAGGAAAGTGTTTCTTAATTCTCACTTTGATCAGAACTATTTTTTTAGAATAAAAAAAAAAACAATTATTAAACTTATAGATGGCAGAGAAATTCATCAACACCGTCTCATCTAATGTAATGCTAAAATCGTCTTCTAAATCCATTGATGAAAATACAAAACGACGTCCATTTAAATGTAAAATCTGTGAAGCACCTGCTCGTTATGCACATTTTGGTGTTATATCATGTGAATCATGCAAAATGTTTTTCAGACGAAATGCTCACATTGAACGGGTGAGATTGATTATTTATTTGAATAGAATTCTCATACTAATTCATTCTATTAGTCAACATTTGAATGTAATTTTGGTAGTCAATGTGAAATTAATATATATAATCGTCATATATGTACCAAATGTCGATTAGATAAATGTTTTCGAAGTGGAATGAGTATGGAATTGTTTCGATTGGGTTATTCAAAATCAATAAATCGATCAAAAAATAAAAATTCTCAATTAACATCAACAGACCTTGTCAAAACAATCAAAAAAGATAAAACACAGATGGTAAGATATTTTCCATGAAAATTGTTTCGTTCAAATAAAGATTATGTCAATACGTATGAAAATTCTTAGAAAGTAAATATACAAGAAGAGAAATGACAAATAATTAAATTCATTTTCAATATATTAGAACTGGAAATGTACATGACTAATTTTTCAGTCTCAATCTCACTTTCGATTATGACATTGCATGCTCATACGGAATCTAAAAATTCTATAGTTTTGTTTGTTTGATTTAGTTAATAAACAATTTTGAAAATTTTTGATCTTGTCCGCCAATTTTATATTCATTTATGAGATAGTTCGCTGGAAAAGACAATATATTAAATGGTATTAGTCCTTATTAGTTTTTTTGTTTTTTAGTTGCCAACATTAAATCTTTTGCAATCGGATATATCAAAATTGACTAATAATCAATGGACTCTTCTCTCAAATGTGATTCATAGTTTTGATGAAGATCGGATGAAATCTATTTGTCAACGTTTAGTTAAAGAAGATAAATATTCTCAGTCAATAAAACCATTGGATGAAATATTGACTAAAGAATTCTTTCGATTACTTTTCGAAACAACAGATATATGTCTTCGTTTAAACGGTGATATTTGTGCTTTACCACATAATGATCGTTCGATTGTACTTCGTACTGGTGTCGATTGTCTACTTTGTTTAGGTGGAGCATTTATTATGTATCAATCTCAATTAAATACTTGTCAATCTTTTATAGACATGAATGCTAAAAAATATGGAACATATGGTATATCACTTACTCTTTATTCAACAAAATTTTTAGATCCTGATGTTGTACTCGTTAAAATGGGACTTTTATTATTAGTTTTCTCTAAAAATACTTATATATTTTCTTCAACAACATCATTAGATCATGTAAATGCTAATATTATTTTACAGATTCAAAATAGATATGCAGAAATAACATGGAAATATCTTCTATATAAATATGGTTATCATCAAGCTATTCAAAGATTTATGAATTTAATTCTATGCCTTTTAGCTGTTGTTCAAACGATGTCTTATCTTCAAAGTGTTCAACCACATATTAATGATGTTGAAACAATTGCTGAAAATTCTGAATTGGAATTGATTTTAGATGATATTGATCAATTCAATTAAGCAATTGTTGATTAACTTATTTTCCTTTTTTTTTTTACATTTACATAAACATAAAACTATTCCATCTGTTATTTGTCTTGTTTTTGTTTTTGTGTCTGGAGAATATATATATTAGAATAAACAGTGAAGAAAATTGAAACTTTGATGTACTATTTGATAAACAGATCGAGAAGAATTTTAAAAATATCAGAAGATTATTTAATGAAATTTTCGATAATATTCTTCTCTTATAATTAATTGTCTCATTAGTAATGCCACATACAAAACAATAGAAATTAGGTTTTCTTTTTTTTTTGCGATTAGAAAATTGTTCGACAATATAGTTCTACATATCTTTTATGAACAAACCGTTTAAATACTTTAGACAATATTTAAAACAAAAGATTCGAGAGAAATATTCAATTAGTTTCTTATACATTGTCAAACAATTTCTTTGAAGAAATATTCGATTAGTTAAGATATGTAGCTTCATATTATAAAACAAACATCATCAATGTATGATCTATTAAAAATGTAAGGCTTTTCCATCGGATAAATGTATGACAAAATAGCCTGAAATCTGATTTTTCTATTTGGCACGATGTTTTCACGGTAGGCAAAACTTTTGATAATAACGATCATCGACTTAGTTTTATTGATTTATTTAATTTTTTTGTTCGAAAGAGTATGTCAAAGTGCAGTGGTAGCCCGACCCTCCTCAATTTATAGAGAGTCTGAATTGTTATTCATTATAGATTTTTACTCGCTGAAGAATTGCTGCAATTGGTAGATGTATTTTTTATAATTGTAAATACGATCAAATTTTATTATTTAAAACAACAATCTTTTTAATTAGAACATTTATTTAATATTAACGCAAATAAACTTCAGAGCTTTTAAAAGGCAAAACAGATTGTTCATATTTAAAAAGATGATTAAATTATTCTGGTATTTTAGTTTTTAATAAATACGAAAAACAAGATATTCGAAAAAATTTAGAAGAATGATCGAAAACTTTCATCAATTTTGAATCGTGACCTATTCTTGCAAATAAGATGTTACAGTTTTTATACAGTATCAATAAGTTGCAATGAAAGTCAATATTTTCAAATATGTAAATAAGATCATCTATTTAGCAAACGATTAAGTGGATAGTCTCTTCATCCAACACTCTGCTCATGCGATGTGAGTTAATAAGGGGGCTGGGCGAGTCAAGTTATTTTTGCCATTTTTTCTTTTTCTGTTTGTTTTGATAAAGAACGTCAACAAAAAGTTTTTCATTCCACGATATCTAGTTCCTAATGTTTATACACAAAAATAAAAATAAGAAAATTCATAAAGAATGTAAAATAAAACAATTACTCTTAATATTTACTTAAATTTCTATCGTTGTTATGAACTTCAGATCATGCAGATCTTTGATTATTTATTATTTATATTCAATCATAAAAATCAAAATTTTACATATATTATCACTATGAGTATGAGAACAATGACATTTGTTTTTATTTCCAAAAACTCAGTGACCATTTATATTAGTGCATATATAGTCATGAGATTTGTCTGTCTAATTTTCATCTGTTCGAAACTAGAAACCGTACAAGTCAGAAAGATGAAATTCACTTTTTTTGAAACTCACACATCAACATGACAAACGCGTTGGTCATTGTATTAAGTTTGATTGTATTGATTTCTATTACCAGTATTCGTGGTCAAGATTGCTGTAAGAGTCATATGTGTAGTAAATGGTATTTGTTGTATTGGTCAGTCTATGACTTTAAATAATCAACAAACAACACCATGGAATTTCAATTTACAAATAAATTATGATGTTTATGTATGAGATTGTAGGTCATCAAATATGGATCCATCGCAAAAATATGCCAATATTTCATGTATTTTAGACGGTCGTTGGTCATTAAATCATTTAACTTTTCAATTAAGATCTATATCATCCAGTAAATTGAAAATAATTATTGGTGAATATACAATGAAAAATAATCGAACAGGAAAAATTGCTTTTCTAGCTGATTCTCAATGGACATTGATACTATCAGTTGATGGAAATCAACAACCTGGTATTTATGATAAAATTCAATTCGATTATGCTGGTTTTAATTATACGTATTATTTTGGATATGGTTCATATCCACATTGTCCTCGATGTTAATTAAATTAATTCCATGATATAGTTTCACAAAAATTCATTCAAATTGCTGCAATAATTAGCATTTTCTCCCAAATATTCATTTTAATTTTCATTAAATAAAAAAAAAATGATTTAGTAAGAATTATTTGCACGCCGTAATGGTACACTATACTTCTATCGAATGTTCTCTATTTTCTAATGTGTAAAATGTTAAGTGAATATCTTTATTAAAATAACAATTAATATGTAAAACTATATGATAAACTATGTTGTCAGATGGCAGTAGTCTTTTTGCATTAATCAATTTAGATAATAAGCTCTATAGCAATACCTATTGAAAGACGACTACTAGGATTTGATTCCGGAAGGGAATGTATGCAGATTTGCTCTGTCTAATAACATATGTATCAGCAAGTTCTGTTTGGTATGCAACAGAACTTGATAGTACATACACCATTAGATAGAGAAAGTCTTCTTCCTACAAACCTGCATACATCCCGATCCGGAGTCAAATATGACCCTGAAACTTATAGTTGCCTTTGGCTGTTGTCAATATAGACAGTACGTAACATTTGTCGATGCAGTATCGCAACTGCCATGTGATTGATATTATATTGGGTGTTGTAGAACCCTATGAATATGAAATATAATAATATTTATATCATCACTTAACAGATGAAAGTGTAGTTTTAATTAAGTCTTACCACATCTTAAAATTTACTATTCATACAATATTTTTCTTACAAAAGAATACGCTTTAACATCTTGTTCTTCAACTAGACAGAATACGAATAGTTTTAGTCTTACGAGGGAACCACCCGAGATGTCAAAAAGCTTTTCGGTCGCGGATATAATGGTTAGAAAGGGTATAGCAAGGAGTGATATACCCTAAATTGGTTCGGGCCCAAGTTAGGATTTGGCTCAGATATCGACTTCTTACTACAGTTTCCTTATGGAACTCCATTTTCCCCATAAAATCAAGGTTTCGAGTTTTGACGTGAAGTTTTGCTCATATCAAGGTCTCAACTAGAGTGGCTCACCTGCAAAGTTTCAGAATTTTTAAACTAAGTATTCCCGAGATATAAGTCTGTTACTATAAATACATTTGTTACGGATATTGCTGTATACATAGAAATTTAGAAAACATGATATATTGGGAATACTTAGTCTAAAAATTCTGAAACTTTGTAGGTGAGCCACTCTAGTTGAGACTTTGATATGGGCAAAATTTCACGTTAAAACTCGAAACTTTGATTTTATGGAGGAAATGGAGTTCCATAAGGAAATTTCTGGTAAAAATTCGGTATCTGAGCCAAATCTCAACTTGGGCCCGAACCAATTTATGGTATATCACTCCTTGCTATGCCTTTTCTAACCATTATATCCGCGACCGAAAAGCTTTTTGACACCTCGGGTGGTTCCCTCGTTAGATATACTACTAATAGCCAGCAAAGATTTTCTAGATTTTTTAAAGATTTCCTTCTTAAATTTTAGAAAAAAAAAGAATCTGCTTAAAAGGACAACAAATATTTTTTAACAGCACTCTAAGTTTAAACACTATTTCAAAGCTGAAACAGCTTATATAATAAGAAAAGGTTTCAAAAGGTTTTTTTTTCGAAGAAAGTGATTTCAAATCCAAATGAATGAATTTTAATGAAATAAAGCATTTTAGGACCTTTTCTGAAGCACCAGTTTTTGTATGAAGTGATTTTTAATCTAGAAAAAGGATTTTTATGAACAAGCGTTTAAAGGTCTTGTACCCATGCAGTGAGAAATGTGAAATTAAAGCGTTGCAACAATTTGTATTTTTCTTTCTTTTAACTGATTGTACACAGGTCTGAAATTTAGCATTTTAACAGTAGCCTTTGTCTTACACTTCAACTTCGTTATGACATTCTTTTTTGAAAAACATTTCTTCGCGTTTTCCATATAAACATATTAAAACGCCAAATTTCAGACATTTTTGACTCTATACATTCCGTTTATACAAAAAACGGTCTCATGCATTTGACATACGATTTGTTTTTCCCATTTCTCTATATAACGTATTAATACTGGTGAAGAGGAACTACAACTCAGATAGCTTGATTTTAGAAATATTAGTAAGATACAATGTTCAGGGTTGGGTGTGGATGTGAGTATCGGCGTTGATTCGAGATGTGAACAAATCCACACTCCAAATAAAACATTAAAAAAAATTTCATTCGAAAGCTACTGCTCGATTATTGACATTCACTTAGTAATGAATGCATCTTATTTCTTCAATCTTTAATATTTTGGTCTCTGGATATTTTTGTCGTTGAAATGATATATACGAAGTTGAACCGCAATAGGAAGTTAACTGAACAAGTACGGAAGAAAATATGAGTCCTCAAAGATTCTTATCATCAAATAATGTTTTTTTATTTCAAAATAAGACTTTCTGACTCACTTATTGTTAAGAATGTCATCAAACGAAAAATGAATATGAATGGAATGTCGATAGAATAAAAACTAGAGTAATATATCCTCCTGTGAAAAATAAATAGAACATCTAATTTTTTCGATTAACTTTCTATACTAGTGTCATTTCGTCTCAAGTTGATATCACAGATATATCGATCGTCACTGTATGTACTTCCAAGGTTTCAGTCATGAGTATACTCCTGCATTCTTGTAACAAATATTTATAGATTTTCTTGTCATTTTCAATTTTCCTTTTTCTTTTTCTGTTCACATAAAACGTTCCGAAATGAATCAAATTATAGTCATTGTTTTCAACTGTTTGAATAGTAGTGCAGAAAAAAAAGACTTAGCAAAAAAATTTAAAATAATGAAAAATAATAATCAAAATTTGATTCATTTCATAAATTTTAATATGAAGAGAAAAAAAAAAGAGAAAATTATTCGAAAAAAATTAGATGTTTCATTTATTTTGCATAGAGGAATAAATAAAGAGAGAATAGTGATTTAGAAATTTATATGAATCATGTGTTTAGTAATAAATACGAAGAATAAGTATCGATTCAGTGAAGAATGACATAAATGAATGAATGATAGCTGCTGCTATTGTGGCAATAAAGAGGCAAAGAACATCGGTGCTATTCGCCAACACGATTACTAATAAGAATGAATAGAATGGTATAGAAAAGGCCGAAAGAAAAAACGTCGAACGATAAAAATACCGAAAAAAAAATATCGAAACTAAAAAGATCGAAAAAAAATGTTGAATGATGAAAACATCGAATGATAGTTACGTCGAAAAAAGTAAATGTCGAAGATTTGAACACAAAATATATGTGTGTGGGGTGCAAGTATGAGTCATGCAGACTAACGTTTAAGTAACAAGTTATAGAGTAAAGTAGGGTTAGCCTTGAGAGAGAAAAAGTGGATTCGAGATCTAGGTGACAGTCCATGGAGTCAGATGAAACTACTTGATTTCATTTTGATCACAAAGATCCATTAGAATCTATTAAAGTCTATGGATCCAGGATTGGTATTTTTCAGTCTTGGTTAGACTGGTCAGACGTGGAAAACACAGAATAAGAGCGTAAAACTTTTAGGATAGAAAGAGGATGAGGCACGGCAAAGCCGTATGCTGTAGGATCCTATTATGAATAAAAATGTGACTTTTCTCTTGATTCATATTCACAATTTTTGCGACATTTTTACACATTCGGTATTTTTTCTTTCGAAATTTTTTTTTCTACCTTTTCTATTTCGACATTTTTTTTCGACGTTTTCTTTTCGATGTTTTTTGTTTCAACATTTTTTGTTTCGACCTTTTCTATGCATACCAATGAATAGATGTCTTGCGAAGAAGAAAAAGGTAGATTTTTCCTTTAACTACACGCACATTGTGATTGGTGTAAATCGCACACACGTGTTGCAGCATGAGGGCGAGGCCACTGTGATAATTGTGTTTAAAGTAAAAATGTTCCAACTTTGTAAATTGCGTTGCACTTCTTCCTTTTTTATGACTAACACAAAATGAGAAACAAGTTGGTTTCTTCCAACTTGGAACTATGACTCATTTATTGCGCAAATAAAAGCACACCATACAACATTTGATAACGTTAACAACGAAGACAGACGCTATATTTGTCCAACAGACAAAAACTGGTGGTAAGTAAATGAGACAGCCTTATTCTTGGTACCTAATAGAGAAGACTCATTGAAGTTCCAGGATTGATCTGTAAAAGAGACAAAAAGTACTGAATATGTTTTGTTACTTCACTTTTTGATGCAATTTGGAAATTCTCTAACTAGTTCAGACAGTGTTGGGTATTTGGATAATTATCCAAACCTTGCTTGAGGCATACAGGCAGCCATGAAAGCATCCTAAGGTTTAGTTATATTCAGGTCCGAGTATTTCTGAACTATCTTGAGGGTGTGGGTGTGGATCTCTAATATATGTTACACTCACACCTACACCCACTTCACAATTACCATATTTCTGCTTTCAAGTTCCTATCGTTTCTTTGAGTTTTTCAACTACGTCTGATCAAAAATTTACGGAACAAAGTGTCGAAGTAATTGACTTGAGCAATAAAATGTTTATCATCTTCAAATACAGTCAAGAGGATTTCTCTCCTTGTTTATGAGATATATACATATATCTTTTCATTTTCTGTTCCTTTCTGTGTTGATTTTTTGTAGTTAGTTATTACTAATAGACTATTCCTCTTTCCGTTGTATGAATAATTGGATATATCTTCCAACCAAGAGAGAATTAGTAAACCTATAGAATGTTTTGCGTAGTGGTGACCTTTTATCTTTACTATCCTTTATAATAAAGGATAAAGATAAAATAAAGGAATAATGAATAATTTTACAAGAGATAATATGATTGGAAGAGTTCTAGGAGGGTGTGGGTGTGGGTGTGAGGATGTGAAAATAACACTGACACCCCATACCCACACTCACCCTACTCCCACACCCACACCCATTTTTGACATCCTTTCATTTGACAATTAAATTTATTATTGACTCTATTTAAAATCATAGCGTCACTTCCCTGGAAAAATATTTTTATCTATCCT